GGGGGGGGGGGGGGCTGGGCTTACTGGAGAAGAAGGATTAATAGACAGTCTTTCCTATTACGTTGTAGTTTGTAGAAGGTGTGGGGGATAAACAAGCGTTACAAACCACCCTCTCTAAAGCTCCAAAGTAGATTTACCGCCATTTACGGTATCGCTAAACCTCAGACTTTTTTTACGGCCACGAGGCATCTTGCGATGTACGTATCGGGTGTTTTTTCAATGAACATAAACAAGAAAGATGGCGGACAAAAATTCTGAAACTTTTGACAAAAACTCGGACAAAAATGACCAAAACGTAGACGGAAATAAAGAAAATACTGCTATGCTTGTAGACGAAGAGCACTGGCAAGCATGCAGGGAAACAATTCGTGAAAGAAACAGGTTTATGTTTAAAAATTCACTTATGAGTGATGTACATTTTTCGGTCGGCATAAGCGACGAGACGGCGGAAAGGGAAACACGAAATGTCCCCGCACATAAATATGTGCTTGCTATAAGCAGTCCTGTGTTCTTTGCTATGTTTTACGGCAGACTGGCCGAAACTCAGGACACTGTTGAAATACCAGACAGTGATTATGAATGTTTCGTAGAATTCCTGAGGTTTTTGTACTGTGATGAAGTTAATTTCACAATCGATATAGTCATGGGCGTGAACTATTTGGCTAAGAAATATATAGTTCCGGCTTTGGAAAAAAAATGCATTGCTTTTATAGAAGAAGCTGTAGACGCGAGCAACGTGTTTAAACTGCTTTCCTACGCGAGAAAGTATAAAGATGAGTCTGTGGAAAAAATTTGTTGGGAATTCTTGGATAGCGACACTGTCGAGGCTGTCAACTCCGAGTTCTTTTGCCAAGTTGATAAAGAAGTTATCCGTGAGTTGCTAACAAGGGACACACTACATGCCAAAGAGATTGAATTATTTTTAGCCATCAAAAAATGGGCTGAAACACAGAATTTGGAAGGGAATGATGAAGCGTCTAATGATGAACTCACAAAAGAAAGTGTTAACGAAGTTGTCAATCTGATTCGTTATCCATTAATGTCGCAACGAGAGTTTGCTGAACATGTAGCAAAATCAAGGTTACTACGTCATGAAGATGTTATAAATATGTTCTTGAAGTTCAACGATACTCTCGAGGATAATACAGTTTTACCATTTTCCCAAGTGCCGAGACGTGGGTACTACCGATGTTCCCTCTGGGAACATGTGTACGATACTCTTGATATCGAAACTTGGGATGTTGACACAAGCCGAATGCCAAACAGTTTAACATTCTCATCTAACTGTAACATTCTGTTGTGCGGAGTTGGTCTATATGGCAGCGACAATAACAACGACTCGTATATGTTTGAAGTTTATGTTACTGACGAGGATGACACAGTATTACTTCAAAGCGAAGGATCATTCAGTTGTCATAGCCAATGTTTTGCTTATGATGTGATCTTTAATAAGCCAGTTAAAGTACATAAGAATGTATGGTACACTATAATGGCAACTGTGGATGGTCCAAGAGGAGTATATGGTGGTCAGTCGGTTGCCAAGGCAACAGGGCTCGACTTGACCACAGATGAAATAAGTTGTGGACCAGTACGATTTCTGTTCAGGGATTTAAACGTTGGTGGACGGATACCTAACATATACAATCATTACTCCGGCTTGTTATATTTCTTACGATGAGTTGATCAATAATATTGATTACGGTTATCAAGAACAATAATTACCATAATAATTATAACTGCCATAGTCAATATAACAATGATTTACATAACAACAATGATTAACATGATCAATAGCAATGATCATCATAATCAATTATATTGATGATCAATGACTGCCATAGTCAATAGCAATGATTTACATAGTAACAATGATTAACATGATCAATAGCAATGATCATCATAATCAATTATATTGATGATCAATGACTGCCATAGTCAATAACAATGATTAACATGATCAATAGCAATGATTACCATAATCCATTGTATTGATGACACAATAATTTAATAATGCAATATTATGTATAATTATGTTGTTGTAGTTTGCAAAAATTGAGTTTATATTTAAATAAATAAAATGATTTGTTGTATTAAACACTGGTTTACATTCTCTTTTACTTTGTAATGTTGCAAAAGCGTTCACTGCATTGTACAAAACAATCCATTTCTACTTTTGACCAACTTTTCAAAACTGTTCAAAACTTGCAAAGCAAAATTAGATTTCAGCATGAAACACCCACATCAAAACAAAGGTCACCTAACTCCATACTTTATCTTCAAAGCATGTAGTTCATTGTCTGTAAATGTTTTTTCATTGTCTGATAGTTTTTCCATGTAGTCGAACAGATCGTTTATCACTAGTAAAAGAAAACAGACATTTTTAAACGTGTTTCCACTGTCCACAGTTAATTAGAAGTTCGTAATTCCAATTCTATATGTGAATTTTCAGGGTGCGATAATTCGCGTACTTACGTACCGGAAGTACGCCAATATTACTGTCTGGTACTTCTGTTTTCAGCCACGTAGGTACGCGGAACTCTTGCTATCCGCGTACTTATTTTTTGCTGGTAGCACATGACCTTTCCAAGTCGTATTCAATACCGTAATTTAGTTGGTATATCATGTATCTGAGATGTCTTGGCATGAAACATGATTGCACTGATGGCACTAAGAAACGTTGGAGTCGGTTGTTTGAAATAGCAAAACTCCGTTCTTAAATAGCTAAACACCCTTTTCAAATAGCAAAATACCCTTTTCAAATAGCAAAACTCCCGTTTCAAATAGCAAAACTCTCTTTTCAGATAGTAAAACACCCTTTTCAAATAGCAAAACACCCATTTCAAATAGCAAAACACCCATTTCAAAAGCAAAACACCCTTTTCAAATAGCAAAACACCCTTTTCAAATACAGCAAAACTCCAGTTTCAAATAGCAAAACTCCGTTTGCTACCTCGTAGTCTGAACATACTTTTCAGAAACCTGTACTTTATGAACCTTATTGTAAAGACTAAGTATACATTGAGTACTGAGTTTGTTCTAGCGCAAGTACGCGGCAACAACCATTGGCGTACCAGTCAGGCACGACAAGAAATCTTGAATGATCGCACCCTGGAATTTTGACATAAAATAATGTAGGTAAAAAAGAGAATATTTTTTACCAGATTTTTCTTTTGTCGACAAGAACATCAATGTCATAGAAAAACGTTTCACTTGTGAAATATTCTTAAGTTCATTAAAGACAGAACGGCAATCCCTTGAAGTGAATTAAAGTAAAATACCTTTGTGATTAATTACTAATTATGACAGAGAATAAATTTTTGTATCAATTTGAAGAAAGTTTAATTGAGTACGAAGTTTACCTTACATAAAAATCGCTAAGGATTGAGAATATTTTCATCAAAAACGACGACTCCACTGATTCACCCAAAACTTTTGGAAGATGGTCTGGTGGTATAATCTTAAAAAATTCAACAAAATCAGTATTTGATCTAGTCTTCAGGCTTCATCAAAAACAGTCCAGGCAATCACAGTTATGATAACTTTAAATTTAGAATTTCACCCAACATTACTACAGATTCAATTGTACAAAAGTGACAACATACCTTCATATAGCTATACAGTAGTTCTGGGTTCTTTTCTAAACGTTTCCAAGTAGTTTGAAATTGTATTGACGAGAGGGGAGGTGTGAGTTCCCAAATTGTTGCCTCGCCATTATGACAGCTGTTTGAAGGCACTGTAGTAGTAAGGGATGATGTACCAGTGGAAGTTTCTTTTGAAATAGTGGGTCTATGTTGCAAGGGTTCACTACTTTCATGTTGTGAGGCTGTATCAGTGTCGTGTTCGTCTGTGTTGGCAGGTTTAGTTAAATGGTTATGATCTTCTATAGTCTTACTATATTCTGTATTTTCACCAATTGTTTTGACTGGTACAGAAGTAGTGTTATTCACAGGAGCCTGGCTTGGTAGACTTAAATGATTCAATGTTTGAATTAAACCAGATGTGTCCTCTAGAGAAGTATTTTGGCTGTCCTTGTCAAGACCTAATTCTTCTTCATCACTGCTGGCTGAGCCAATTTCTTCAATCAGATAACGTTTCATTGGTTTCTAAAAAGTAGAAAAGTTGCTACTCAAAGCATACACAAGGTTTTACAAGTTTTTGATAGCATATTTAGGCAGAATAAAACCTGTACATACTTTGGGTAATTCAGCTATTGGTTGCCCTTCTTTCTTACTACTACCCTGAGATTGTTTAGCCAACATCTAAAGTTTAAAAGACAACAGTTTGGTGGCATCAAAACACTTCAAACTACACATAAATGGGTTTTACTAAGCACTATCGTGCAGCAGAACAGGTCACAGTGCTGTCACAGATAACGTTAATTCTTTTCATTATTACTAAAGTATACTTGTATTTGGTGGCATCAACATTTCCCAAGTTGACCATCATTTACTGGCTGTCAAGTACGCTCAGTTTTATCAAAAACCAGCAATATTATTTGGTATTACCTTTGTAACTTTCTCAATGCCATCCAAAGCTTGCTTGTTGCCAGGTTCTACATTCAGCAATTGTTCATAATCTTCCATGGCTTCCTTCAACCTTCCTAGAGATTGTTTAGCTGATGCTCTCCTGGCATACGCCTTTACATACGTGTTGTCCAACTCTAGGGCTGTATCGCAGTCTTGTATTGCTGCACCATATCTGAATAGCAAACAGAAATTGTACGTTTTACTGTAGCCATCTAGACCAAGCCAACTTTAGCTTTTTCCAACAAGTTTTTTGGCATTTGGGATCACTAACTTAACTCTTAATCTACATTATATTGCGGTACACAAACTGGCTGTTTTCCCATACCTTTGTACTTTTATTAAAGCCATAGCTCTATTTGCTGGTAATATAGCATTGTATGGATCTAGCCCAATAGCTGTCGTGTATCGATTGATGGCTGCTTCATACTTGCCCTCTTTGAACAGATCATTTCCCTAAGTAGGAAACCAGACTACAGTCACAGAAAATCAGTGGACAACAAAATGTTACAGTGTGCAACACTATGCAGGGCCACCAAGAGGGGGTGGGGGGTGGGGAGGCAGGCAAATTGTCCTGGGCCCCCACCTTAACATATTCGTGAGAGCCTAAAATTGAGTAGGTTCTTTAAATTGGTCAGAGAATTTTTGAAATTGAGGGCCCCTTACAGTACCTCCACATGCAGTCTAGTTAGGGTCTAGCTTAAAAATATGATGTCATGGGGCCCCAGGGAAGATTTGCCCCGGGCCCTGCAAATTCTCTCGGCGGCCCTGACACTATGTCGCACCCTATCATGCATGCTATAACCTTTTCTTTCTCAAACAAAGCTTGCTGTAGTCTCCTGTGTTCAACAATGTCCTCATCCTCACTGTCATCTGATGTTGAATGAGTTTCCAGATCTTCTTCATCATCAATTTCTTTTAAAGCTTTATCCTTGGATTGTTAGAGAAAACACTTATCAAATACTATAAAACCAATTACTGTATAACTTTCTGAACACCAGCATGCAGTCCATATCTCAAATTAATTGAATGTTTATTCCCTATTACAGTTGATTTCACATAACTTTTCCCTGAATGTTGCAAACTTTGTTCCGAACTTTGTTGTGAAGTTCAAAAGTTCATACTGAAATTCACAAGCCAGTTTGTAAACAAAGCCTCTAATTGGTTTATTTTATTCAGGGACCAATCAGAGGCTTTGTTTACAAACCAGCTTGTGAATTTCAGTATGAACTTTTGAACTTCACAATGAAGTTCGCAACATTCACAGAAAAGTTATGTGAAATCAACTGTAATCAACATCTATTTGGTCATATTTCTTCCCTCAGGACATACTCTTCACATGTCCCTTGGAAGTGTTAAATTTAGGCTCACACCCCCTAGATATGTAGCTTCTGTGGTGAAAAGATTGTAGATAGATAGATAAACTTTATTTAACCACGCTAACCCCGTCAACCGAAGCTGATTTCCACAGGGGGCGTGTATAAAAGACATTACAGAAGTATAAACTTTAGAAAATTATTTACAGAGTATTAGAATTAGTATTAGGCATGCAGGTATTAAAGCAGGGGCGGATCCAGACCGATGCCAGCGATGCGAATGCATCGGTCAAAATTGAGAAATCATGTTGCTTGAAATAATATGTCGTCAATACTTAGTCAAGCACTCAGTAATAGAATATCTTTGAATCTCTCCAGCTATCAAACCGCAAATATTTGCTTAAACTTGACTCCATGTGACTGTCCATGTCGGGAATACACTATTTAGGATGAAATCCAATTTAAATTGTCTCAATAACAGTCGAAATTGTCAAAATAAGTCCAATATGCGACGTGCGATCGCAAAAGTATTTTCTGTTATTTACTTTTTATTTTGCGACACTTAAGCGTGAATAATTTCGCGACAAAATATATTATTTTTTACCGCATCCTTTGACGTCACAGTAGAAAGCTGATGCATCACCTACGTCACGGTAGATTTTGTTTGCATCGATTTTCAGCCATTTTGCATCAGTGAATGCATCGGTCCCGAGTCCTTTTCCGCGTAAAATCTACTGTGACATCATCAAATCTATTGTTTTAGAGCCCTACGTCACGGTAGATTAGTCCGCTGAGCGATGCATCGCATGCAGATTGCGGGCGCTCGCATCAGTTCACTGATGCAAATTTCAAAATCAAAATCTACTGTGACGTAACGAGGCATTCGATTCAAGTCATGGCGGCAAGGATATGCAAACACATATGCAAATGAACAAATAATGCGAAGAAATATCCCTCGAATATGATGGAGAGCAATTAAGTTACTGTCGAATTAATTACCAAGGTTTGGAATGAATTTGATCTTTCAACTGAGCAGTGAGCACAAGAATTGAAGTATATTTATACTGTGAGAATGTGAGATGCCCACTACGGCCACTAGGGCTCTAAAGTAAGTGGAATTTATGTATATTTTACATTGTAGTACATTGTTAATTGTTCAGTTCAAGAAGTGCATAAAGTGGAAAATTGGCTCCACAGTTAATGTAGATTTGTATGTATTTATAACATAATAATTAAAGTTTGTGTCTATTTGATACTGCTGTTCATACCAGGAGGGGGGTTGTGAGGGGGGTGGGGGGATGAGGTAGTTTGACATTTTAGACATTTTACAGTATTTACAGAGATTTGTTTGTCTGGAGGCAAACCAGCCCCATTACCAAACTTGACAGCTTGCTTTACTGAGGCAAATTTCATCTCTGTTTACATGGGATTTATATAACCTGTGCCCATGCAGACCTTCATTTTTCTCACAGCTGGCGGGCAAAGAAAAATGAAGACCTGATAAAGTCACATGTTATTAAATGTTTGTGTCCTACAACTGCCTTTATGGTTGTAACTCTGATTGCCGGCTACTTCTAGCATGAGTATTCATGCCATATTTAATGTATTTTTTTGATATTTTGGTTAGTGCTATATATAATTAAATAATGATAGATTAAATAGTGATTGTAACTATATTTAGCTTGTTGTTAAATTATGTGAAATAATTTGACATTGCGCCTGGCACATTTTGATTGGATACCGGTACTAAAAATAAAACTTTGGTGTGGGTCAAGACTTGCATCAGGCTCTGTACAGTATGTAATTACAATGCATAATAATATTGCAGGTTAATTAACCCATTGAGTCGCATTGCACCCTGATGCACCCTACTTTAGTATTTTACTCTGTCTAACGCCAGACGATTTTACTCGTCAAGGGGAGAGCGCTGGCGCTTAATGGGTTAATGAGCTGGATTTCTAATAGTGATGCAATATTGGTTAGAAAACATTACATTTCATTTTATATGGAAATGAGCTGGCATGCCTCATGACAAGAGTATAATTGCTTTGCACTGCCTGAGTTATTGGGCAATTACTGTACACTGGATATTTTGCAAACAAAGATCATTACCTGGGCGTGCTCGCCTACCATAGTTTGGTACATATGCTTTGTCGGTGCAAATATAATTTGATATAAGCTGTATATGTCATTCTGTTGACAAATTTTAATCTTAGAATGATAAAATGATGGACGTTATAAATACTGTATATAACTGCATGTAACTGGTGTATATAGGTTATAATTATGAAATTTGCTCACAAAAGTGGTATAGATTTAATTAAATTATATATATTTGTAGTGCTTAATTCTCCCAATACTATGTTTTGGATAGCCAGCATGGCTCTCTGAGGATTACCATTGATAAGTGTACGGATATATTTGACGAAGATGTGCATTTATATAGTAACACAGGGAAAATATTGATCAATATTACTGCGCAGCCTTTCTACATTGACATCATCTTAAAAGAGTACTATATTAATATATTAGTTGAAAGGCAGGCAAAAGGGGACTGATAGAAGACATCTGATGATTCAATTATGTCATCATATATTGTTTATCATTGTACAGTTTGGTAGGTTCATTTGACAAACAATTTTCAACTAAGATAGTTCATTAAATCAATTTACACACAGTATCACTATATATATATCTATTGATTTAAAGTTTGGGGTCATGTGTACCTATAGTTATACTTATAGAATTTTAAAACTCAGTGCTTGTTGTGTGTTAGTTTTACTGGTTTCCTGGTGACAGGGCAATATTCTCAGTAATTTAGAGTGTGGGCTAGTCACCATGCAAATATGCAATTCACATCAAAGGCATCTATTGCTAGGGGTGAATAAAATTGACATATTGATGCCAACAACACTGTCCACACAGAGTAAGGTTAGCAGCATAAGACAGAGTTGTATATAAATAAGTTTACCAACTAGAGCACAAAATACCTTTATGCACCATTCTAATGCTAAAAAATTTTACTCATGGAACATTGCAAATTAGTGGAAATGAATAAGCCTCAGGGAAGGTGGTTAAGAAACCTAATAACACTGTCTTTTGAGTCCAACATTGCAACTAGTGGATCACACTGTATACACCTTTGTTACACGTATGTGTGTATTTGCGTTGTCGTGATTTTTTGCCGAAATGTTTTTCAATAGAAAAGTTAAGGCTACAAGAAGCACAGTAGTAAGTACTGACTATTTTTTAATAGAGATTTATGTACCGCTGCTGCTATTACACTTGTACAAGCAAATATTTTTTCTTATATGGAAAAATTATGTTGTTTTTGCGATATAGGTTCAAGTTTTTTACGTGCTTTCCAAAAATGCAGCAAATAATTTTGTGACTCTGATGTATGAATTGGAACAAAAGAGTTTGCTCAGAACGCAGGAAATCGCATTTCCGAGGTTCTAGATTTCAAAATTTCCCGGGGGAGGATACCCCCGGACCCCCCGACAAATGCGAGTTCTTATGTATGCATCAGTCAGCTCAGGAGCTGGATCCGCCCCTGTATTAAAGTAAGTAATGGGAATATAACAATCTATTTACATTGTTTCTACTGTATTAGATCTTCAAATAATTTGGCTTGCAATTTCAAAACTTTCCTGTAAGGTACTATGAAAACCCACCTTATGACCACCCCATTAACACAGCCATAGCTTTTACACACCTTGGGTTTCATCAATTAAAATTTAAAATTACCTAACTAATACTACAACCTAGACTAGTCCATCATTTACATGCTTCTGTTGTGGTCTATAGAACTATATCTCCCCATGCAAAGTGTTTTCAAGATTATGGTCATTTGTCGACGACAAGACATTGTACCCACCACGTCATATTTGTCCCACGCCTGGAAGTCCGACCCCTTCAATTTCGTCTCTGTAGGAGTTTGTTTCAATATTGACTTGGGTTTCTTTTTCCGAGGTTTATTTCTTACAGGATGTGACTACAAGGAATGCATTGCAAACTTAGTAGTTTGGGTTGGTAGTTTTGATGGTGATTTAATACTGTGGTATGGTATAGACCAAATGGTATTAAAAGATCTCAAGACTCTAGCAAATACTTATGCATCTATCAATGTTAAGCCCCAGAGGGGGCTGATTTGATTTTTTGAGCAAATTTTCAATCAAATGCCCCACCATCGGGCAATAAATATTGGTCAAATACCCCACCATTTTGCAATAAATACAATATTAATAAAAGTCATTCGGTTCAAATTGCCCCAACTCAGGGCCAAAATGCTAATCAAAATCCCCAGGGTGGGGATGCAATTGATGATCAACCCCCCCCCCCTGGGGGTTAACATTGATAGGTGCCCAGACTGCAGAGTACGTCCGTTTTCGCCGAGATCTCGGGGGCGGAAAGCTGAAAAATCCCGGGGCAGGGGCGCAAAAATGTCCCAGGGGCGGATTCAGGGGCGGCCTTTGGGCGGCCAGCCTCCCAAAAGGCAGTCATTGCTGAAACAAGAAGAAAATGGCTTAATTTGTTTCACATCTTTTTTGTTTTCTTCACAAGTCAACTCCGCTGCGACTGCGGCATAGTAAAATTACATCAACATCCAGTAACATCAAGTAATCAAAATCAGCATAAAATACCCCGCTGACACTTACTGGATTGCAGAAGACACGCTTCTTAATTTATGCGCAAGCTGCAGACACGCGGGAAATAAATAATAATAAACCCCCGACAATTTTTGACATTTTAGAATTTTTAGTTACGAACCTGTATTCGCGGTGAGACTCACTGCCGTCACACATAAATAGTTGTAAGTATAAACTAGATAACTTTTACTATGAGCACCAATATGCCATTACACCATCAAGTTCTGTTAACTTCTGGCTTCTGCCTTTTAATAAGCAACCTTTGGCAATCGGAAGACTATATTCAAGAACTGCATGTGTTAATATTAATAACATACGCAGGAAAATATACACCCTAGTACAAGAATGTTACCCATATTGATCCGGACCTACCAAGGTTCCCGCATTTCGTGTGAAAGTTATGCATTCTGCTTTTGTTCCCGCTGTCCCGCACGCATAACTACAATGAAGTCAATGATCTTAAATTTACGCGTTTTTACTATTATATAACGCTATCCCACTTTTCGTACAATAACTCATTGACAACGCTGTGTGCAAACGTATAATTAGCTGGGGGTACATGGCCAAATACGCTTCTGAGGATCTGGAGACTCCAAATTTCCAAAATTTTCTCAATTTTCCTAGTCACATTAATCTGTAAGTAACACTGTCATATTGATCAGTAGTTATTTTAATTATCTTCATTGTTAGGCAGTAGTAATCACTAGTAAAACATTGAAATCTTGGGTAGGAAAAACTCTAAAAATGCTATTTTCGACGGTCTAGAGAATTCAAATTTTCAAAAATTTTTGCTCGGCGCCAACCATGATAGCGCTTTGCGGGCATCGCAAAATCAGATGAATTGAAACAGTTCAGGCGGTAAATCTATCCTCTCCCAAAGGCAAAGTCCTCGCAACGGCCCTGGTCACGCATTCTTATCTTCCGAACTTAGTACGTCTGATTGGTGGGCGGATAGTGCATGGAAAATTGTTGCATAATATATTTCGTGGGCGCTAAAATTTGTGACGTAACAAACCTCGGGGGCGCAATTGCCCTACTCTGCAGTCTGGATAGGTGCATTAATTTTGCAGTATTTTACAGGTTTTAACACAAACTCTTTAATACTATTTGTGTAAATGAATTTGTTTGTACAGTTTCAGTCCAAATAAATAAACTATAAATGAATGACATAATTTTATAATACTATAACATTTGAAGAAAACAAATACAAATACAATTTACACACGGAGTATATAAGCTTACCGAGTCTGCAGGAGTCTTAGAATTAACTAACAACTTGTCTTTAGTTTGTACTTCATCTTCCCACTGATAAAGATCTTTTAAAAAGTCCTGTAATTCTTCATTATTTTGTCGAACTTGAAATTGCAGATTCACTGCGTCCGCCATCTTGCTGGTTGCCAACCTGCACTGAGCTCTATATAAATATCTGGAATAAATACCGTCGCTTGCATCTACACATGAACACCGTTAAAAGCATTGTTATTATACTTTCGCGTGAAAATTCATGCGTGCAACGACCAACAATATAAAATACGGTAATAATGTTCATCATGTTCGAGTATTAGCTTCATTCTGGCCAATCGTTTGCCAGCAATATGCCACAGTCAGCGAAAACTAGTGCTTACGTTGACTACGTTGAGGGATAACTTTTATGAAGCGTTTCAGCCCTAAAACCGCTAGCCTGCGCGCAGTCCCAGACTCCCAAGTTATGTTACCATCAACCTACGAACATAGACGGTAATATTTACAGTCTAAACAGACTCGGTGCGCTTGTTCCCAGCATGTTGTCGTCCACAAGGATTCCGAATATTACCGTGTATGTTCGTAGTCTAATGACAACAAGCCCATGTATATTAAAATCTGGTACGAAAAGTACCCAATTCCTAATCTTCCTCACTAAAGTCCGAGTCATCATCACTGTCACTATAACGTTCCTGATTGTCATTAGATAGCAATATAGATCCCTCGCCACTCTCTAGTGTCTCTTCCACCTGCAGTCGACTGTGAACACGTCTATAGTTCGAGCTGTGAAGAATACGTGATGATTTAAGGCCATACGTGTCAAAGTCTTCTGGAAACGACTATATATAACACAAAAAACACAAATAAAAACTTGATTTGTTCTGCATAGCTCTATCAGTTCTAAGCTGCTCTCTCTGGAATAAGAGCCGTCCCTTATTGATCCATGTGCCAAATAGGAGAAAATGGTAGTACTTAAGGAAACCATTGGGGGTTTGGTCTTTCTCATGGGCAGCTGAGGCCCCAGTTACACGATACCAGCGAATCGAGCGACATCAACTAAGGGCGCTTTCCATTTAATGGCCTGACCGGTCAGACCCGAATTCTTTTCTCTGTATCAATGGAAAGATCTGGTCTATGTTTCTCAAATATCTAGCGAAAATGGAGCGCAAATGATAATAGATTAACCATTCGAGCATTCTTCAATCGAGATTAATTTTTACTGTTGTAAATAGTTTTTTTTATGTACGTCTGTATCTGTGTTGTCTTGGTGGGACTTAATTGGGAACTTCTGTTCCGTTGTCCTGACCTTCGATCTTATTGATTGTCAAGTTATTAAAAAAAAAAGTTTTGTGTTTCATTCAACAATTTGACCGTTCTGACCGGTCAAACCTCACTCACCATTTAGGACATTTAGTTTAGGGTTCCCCCTGTAGTAACAATGGAACAATAAGGGATGGATCTTGAGACCTGTAATTGGAACTGCTATAGAACTATCTGGTATAAATAGTTACTTTAGTTTCGGTTCTTACCTTCACTAAAGGAAAGAGGGTATGCAATTGATGAGGATGAAGTTTTAATGACATTCTGTCTGTAAGCCACGTGACCAAAAGTTTCATCATGTGACTATACCAATACTAAAAAAAGAAATGACATAATGTGAAAGAGACACTTACCGATTTTGCTTGAGTGCAGACCGAACATTAGAGTGTTAAGCTGGACTTACCTTCAGTAACTTTTTGCGTATTTTATTATCATGGATAGAGTTTTTCATTTGCCCAAGATTTGCTTGACAAAACTGAATATATTTGATTCTGGTTTCGTCTGTCTGCGACTAAATTATCACAGAAAACGCAAATTAAAACTCTGACAATATCTGCCTTACAAAAGACCACTATACTAAACTATCAAGTTGGTTATGGTGGACAGCACTACAATTTCTGTTCTCACTAGAGGTCCAGTAAGAATCATCTCTTACTGCTCTATTGTTACCACAGGAGGAAACCTAAACCAAACTAACTTTATTTACACTGGATAGCTCCATCAGTTCTAAACTGTTCTTCCTAGAGGTCCAAGTAAGGATCATCTCTTATTGATCCAGTGTTACCACAGGAGGAAACCTAAACTAAACTAACTTTATTTATACTGGATAACTCTATCAGTTCTAAACTGTTCTTCCTAGAGGTCCAGTAAGAGCCATATCTCCCTGCTCTAGTGTTACTACTGTCACTCACCGACAGAGAGAAAATATGAGACTTAATTGTCCCTTGGTCGTATCTCGATAACTTTTTTAAAAGTCCCTCTAATACGATATCAATCTAAATACACCAAAGAAAATCACAATCAGAATAAATTTTCTTTATGAAACCATGAACCCAGGAAGAAAATATCGTTTACTTTTTCCACTAATTCTGTGTTGAAGATATCTTCAGTGTCCATAATAAAGTCTCGCACGTCAGGGTGGTATAAATGCTAGAAGAAAAAGAATCAACTCTTTATTCGTTGTATGAATCGGGCTTATACATATAAGCACCAGGGGCGTATTTACCGTGTGGGAGCGGGGAGATCACCCCACCTAGTGGTGTCTAGCGTCCCCCTAGAGAAGTCCGGCAGCACCCTAAAAAATGTGCTTGACCATACATTTTCTGCTTTTCGAATTTGCGTGTCGATTTCGCACTACCCCATGAAAAACCTGCACCCCTCCTTGCAGATGAGCCTAGATCCGTTTCCGATAAGCTACCAAACATGTTCAATGGTAAAAACCTTGGTCAAGCACAAGTTAGAACTAACAATGAAAACTGCTATCAATAGGCAATTCCAACTTTTAGTTTATGCGTGCAGAGGAAGATGGGAAGTAAGGCATCATATTGCTGATTATGCTGAAAAAATAAATGGCGGCCGTGTAAACATGGGGTCATAGCTTATACTTGTAAATAATGAAATATTTTGGTTGTTTCGGCAGTTTTTAATGGAAATTTTTCAGCATAATCAGCAATACGATACCTTACTTGATTACTTCCCGTCACCCCCTGCGCGCATAAATTAAAAGCAGGAATTGCAAAATTTACCTCCGCATGATTTCCTCCTCTACTTCTTTTTCTGAGTTCCGCCGTTGATTTACAAATATCCATCGCCTGTTTATGAAGAAGAAAAAGATTTGAAATACAATGCTAGCCTTGCTGTATACTTGCTCAATCCAGTGTTTTCAGAGATCAGAAAAGCTATCTCAATATCTTACTTGTTTCTTGGCCTGTGCAATCACATTGAACATGACGCAGAGCTGTTGAGGCATGACGTAATCTGTAGTGTATCGTCCACGTTTTGTCCAACTGGAGAACGCCTCACGAACCCTGATGAAACACGAATAATTAGAAACAGTACAAGGTCAAACTCACTTTATAAAACTACAGCAGCCAGGGATAACAACCGCTACCTGTGAATGTCTATTACCTCTTAACACAAGCTTCAATCATATCAGAAGCCATTAGTTCAATTCTCTGACTGAGATGAGAAGCGAGTTCTTTCTCAGGCCAATGAAGATCATCAGTGAATCCTTTCAAAGCACTTAGTTTATAAAACATATCCTCAGACGACGTACATCCTTCCCTGAAATGAAAGCAAAGAGTTGAAATTTGTATAGATGGCTTTCACTAAGCATTATCGTAGTGCTTTATGCACACATGAAGGAATTGCTGAAGGTACTGTTACAGAGTATTTACATGCTAAGAACATGGCGAACTGAAAAAATCCCTTACGCTAATTCAACCTGAAGTAAGACCTCTGTATTAAGTACTGTGTGGTACTGTACGTAATACGATTACACCATCTTACCCGACTGGTGCCCAGGACTCTTTTTCAAAACCATTATGCACGGACTGAGCAATGGAAGACTCCATGAGATCGACGTAACGGATGACCAGCGGTGCAAACTTATTTTGTACGTGGTTATGACATAGACCATTACGTAAACTGACTAGAAGAGAAATTATACAATAGATATGGTGGTGAAAGGCACTAAACAGCGCGTCGCCAACACCACATTGTAGCAGGAAAATCTACGAACTCGCTAGATCTACTCACGTTCTTTATTAAAATAATCATTGAGCAGTTGAAATAATGAGAAACTGTCCCAGGTATCAGGTGGCTGAACGTCTAACGCCGCGTCTAAATCAAATGTGAATAAAGACCAAAATAATTCCGTGTGTTCCACCATTAGCGTCGAGAACCACTCCAATGCCTGATAAAAAGAGAGAATTGATTTATGCTGGTTAGCTCTAAATTCTTCTTCCTACAGAGTAAGAACCATCCTTTGTCGGTCCAGTGTTACTGCAGGAAGAAACTTAAACCAAACTTACTTTATTTATACTGGATAGCTCTATCAGTTCTAAACTGTTCTCCCTAGAGGTCTAGTAAGGATCATCTCTTATTGATCCAGTGTTACTACAGGAGAAAACCTAAACTACAATGACTTTATTTATACTGGATAGCTCTATCAGTTTTAAACTGTTCTCTCTAGAAGTCCATCTTTTACAGTGTTACCACAGGAAGAACCTAAACTAAACTGGATATCAGTTCTAAAATGTTCTTCCCAGAGATCCTCATAGGTCGAGTGACTGAAGTTCTTGCTTCAGTATATATATATAGCGCTCAGTGGCACTGAAGTAATATGCTCTCACCTCGCCATGGTGTTCTTCATTTTGTTGCAAGAGATCAATACAATAATCAGCCAGGCGATAAATCGCGTCAAGACGGTCCACTGGATTTGTGTCTGGGCAGCTAAAATCTTTAGTGAAGAGAGACAAGAATTATTACATTTTGTGTGCAAAAATTCTCTCCTCTGCAGATGGGAGTTTTTCCATATTTTTACGCGATGCGTTTGACAAACCAAGGTTAGTTTTAACCGTAAAATGTTACAACCACTGGAATAGATTTCAAACAAACTTACCCTCGATTTTCACAAATTTTGATACTTTCGTGTAGTTGACGAGAGAAGCTTTCTTTAAACATTTTCGCATCTCGGCTTGAAATTCATCTGGAGGAACTGGCGTTGAAATATCTTTCATCATAACCTGAGTGGAAGCACCAGAAGGAATGACATTACGGGAATGTGAAGATAAAGAATACATTCTCTACATGTTGATTTACGAACAGACCATTTTAATATCAGAGATGGATTTAAATATTCTTTTATGTGCCATACTGCCATCTTAATACTCATTCTTGGTATTACGAAAGTGGTTTGTATTAAAAAGTACATTCTTAGACTAGTTACCCTTTCAAACAAAGATAATGTAGCTTTGAGAGCTCCTTCAGGTCGACCGAATGGAAACGAATATCTAGAAACCATGAAGGAATTATATTAAAATGATCAGACGTTTGGTCTTCTTGACAAGCATATTCAAAATTCATATACCTGAAGTTTATAATCTGGCTTGTGAGTAAATTCCAGAGTCTTTCCTTGACTTCGTCAAATGTGTCTTTTTCAAATGTCGTGATTGTCACAATGCCATCAGGACTAAGGAAGAAGAGAAGGCAATTTGTAAGCGAGTAAGACAATCATGCCAAACTAACTTTATTTATACTGGACAGCTCAGTTCTAAAATGTCCTCTGTAGAGGTCCAGTACCATTCCTGGTTGGTCCAGGAAATACTTAATCCCGAACATTGATGTTTCAGTTTTAACCATTCCTGGTTGGTCCAGTGTTACTACAGGAGGAAAGCAAAGTATCTGGAGACGACCTGTGGTTTTTGGTAGAGTCTAAGCACTTTTCTGACATGAGACTAAGGAAAAATTATGATCAGACAACTGGATCAGACAACTCTCGATATTGCTGCAGGATGAGAGTTTTTGCTCAACAAAACGAACTTGGACTTGCAGTCGTTAAGGCCAGTTTACACTTGCAATTTTTGCTGCGATTTCTAGTGCGATTTTCTTCTTCTGATGGATGTGAACGAGTGGATGAATTATGAATGTTCTGAGTATATGTACCTTCATCCCAACATTCACAACTCATCTACTCGTTCACATCCATCAGAAGAAGAAAATCGCAAGTGTAAACTGGCCTTTAGAATGAATTCGGGTATAGTGAAGACAGTTCAGCGCCGTGGCAGTCCAGCACATTGAACTATAAGTAAACTGGAAGGCGAACTGCTATGATGAAGGCCTATGATTTGCTGAAGCCAAAATAGTTTTTCTGAGTTATGAGCAGATCCCAAACGTTGGGCTATATATCAAACTGAAGCTATTGAAAATTGCTATTCGGTGTGGAAATTTCAAGACTTCAGCAAAAAGAAAAATATTTTAAAAATACAACTGTCTTTTACAACTACCATTCGGCCAAAAAATGGCAAATTATCGGCAATTATTTTTATAGTTTTTTAAATATTTCCCTTTTAGCTAAAGTCTTGAAATTTCTACACCAAATAGCGTTTTTCTCAACAGCTTCATTTTCATATACAGCACAACGTTCAGTGTTGAGTATTTCTGCTCATAACTCAGAAAAACTAAAATGCACTGGCTTCAATCCCCTCCCTGAGTTAGCCTTCCAGTTTATTTATAGTTCAATGGTCCAGCATGAAGAAATGGACGAATAGTCTTACCGATTGCCATGTACGTGTGAGGCGCAGAATGCGTAGCTGTAATGGAGCAATGTTGGATCAATCATGATCCCAGACTCAGCCTTGTCAAGCAGGTCGAGAAGATAATACAGATGACGACAACATCCACGTACTCCGTATCTCGCACAGTACTCGTCCAAGACAAACAACTGTCCTGGTGAAAACCATCCCTGGAAAATGAAAAGCAAAATTCTTAACTTTAAATATGTCTGCAAAAATGCATCGTATTTTATGTTTTGAAAGCTAACTATTGTTAGAAATGTTAGTGGCTGCACAAATTCAAAATGTGTCTGCAAGCAGCGCTAATGCGTTCGCGCATTTGAGTCAGAACAAGTAACACCCAACGCTTAACGTACACTACCAGGATTAACTCAGTTCCGTCCGTGCTTCCGTTAGTCAAGGCATTTCTTCTACTGTGGAGAGAAAGAAGAAGAGAAGGGAAGACTTACCAAGCAGGAATACGTGTCATTAAGACGAAACTCCAAGGTAAGAAATTGCAGTAATTTAAACAACGCATGATGATCAACTTTACTGGGATCTGCCTGGATTGCCTCGTCCAGTCCGAATTTCCTCGCACGATCCGTGTCTAGAAAGAAATAGAGAATAATACATGGGTGCGCGGAAATACCAGATTTCGAGTGTTGAACATGATATCGCACGAGTGAGCGCAGCGAACGAGTGAGATATCATGTTCAACACGAGAAATAAATCTGGTATTTCCAAGCATCCATGTATTTTTCTGTTTATTATATAAAGGACAGTCTTTAAAAAGCGATAATTTTTACAGAAAAGCGAAAATTGAAAAGCGATCATTTTCACATGAATTATCATAAATAATCTCACATGTGAGATTATCACTTTTATCAGTGCTCGAAATCTCTATAAAGCACTATACTTTATATAATAATAACATATATTACACCCTGGTCTCACAACTGTGGCCAACTTTACAGACTTTGTCTTTCGACATCTTGTATGACTGCGATAAGCGCAGAAGACTAGCGCGCGTTCCTTACCCCCCATCAGTTTCGTCAACGAGTTAGTTTTTGGTGTTCCAATTTCCAAGGTTTTGGGTGCTACAGGTCTGTATGACTGTCCAGTGGCTTGTGAGATCTTATGCACCCACATTTGTCTTTCCATTTCATCATCTGTTGAGAATGTGACACTGTTTCCCTCCTTTACACAACCAAAGAAATATTTCCCACCTTCGTGTTCGTCGTCTGAAGAAAACGAAAATTATACGTAACAGTAGTTTTAGCGTAATTAAGTAAAGGATACGCATCAAATGTAGTCCTCCGCAAAATAGTTTGTAGAAACATCTGTGTCCAGGGGTTTCAGGGTACTGTGATTTTCTCCTGTAGTAACACCGGATCAATAAGGGATAAATCTTACTGGACCTCTAGGAAGAAGAGTTTAGAACTGATAGAGCTATCCAGTACAAATACAGTTAGTTTCGTTTAGGTTTCCTCCTGTAGTAACACTGGATCAATAAGGGATAAACTTTACTGGACCTCTAGGAAGAAGAGTTTAGAACTGATAGAGCTATCCAGTAAAAATAAAGTTAGTTTAGTTTATGTTCCCTCCTGCAGTAACACTGGATCAATAAGAGATAAACCTTACTGGACCTCTTGGGAGAACAGTTTGGAACTGAGCTCTCCAGTATAAATAATTATTCTGGTTTACCTAGCGGCTGTTCAGTATAATCCACGGTATATCCATCCAGTTGAATCATTTCATATGGTTCACCTTTTCTCTCATGATAACTGCACAGAGCAAATGTGTATTGACTCACCTACAAATCAAAATCGTTCATCACTCCAGTGGAGAAGCAGATATATTGCAGTCAACCTGCACTTATCATCATCTATTGCCCTTGAACGCTTACTGCAATATTCCCTACATGTGAAATATATTCCTACTTGGGCACCAGAAAAAATTCTTCAGAACACAAGAATATTGATTCTCACCTGTAGAAGAACAAAATATCTCTTCTTCCATTTCTTCCAAAGATTCAAACCTTTGGAATATATGTACCTGGGAAAGAAATTACAACAGATTGGTCTTTATTTGAGGACTTTAACTATCAGGAGTGAAATGCAGTGTTGAGATGTTCTATTTATTTTTCTCAGTTTCCTTGCATTGCATTTCATTCCACTTTATTCTACTCTATTCTCTTCCATTCTTTTCCACTCAATTCTATTCCAATCGATTCAATCCCATTTTATTCCACTCTTTTCAATTTTATTTTGTTCCACTCTTATTCTCTTCCACCTTCATTCCATTCAATTCGATTCCATTCTTCCCTCAACTCACCCGCATTTCTTCAGGTTAAGAGGTTTATCCATCTTCACTCTCATTTTTATTTGAATTTTATCTGTGGGTGAGCCTTTGACAGGAATAGCATTGTACCATCTAGAATCTTCAGTAAATCCGGGGTAAGGATGGCAGGTCAACTAACAAAAGACAGAGAAAAGGCTCTGAGTTCTGAATGCAAATGATATTAATGTTAAATGTGTACTAGTTAAAACATGAGCAGCCGATTTAATTGATATACAAACTCGAGCCGAAGGCGAGAGTTTGTATGTCAGATAAAGATCAGATGCAAATGTTTTAACGTGCTTAAAAAAAAACGACCCATCTTATGAGTTCATTGGCGAAGTAATTAGCGTTAAAAATAAAGCGTTAAAAATAAAGCGTTAAAAATAAACGTGCATGTCTAAGCCAAGAGAATCAAAGTTGAAGTTTATGTAAACCAGGACAAATCTTTATCCGATTTACAAACATTGATTAAACATTCGTTTCTTTTGAATAAAGATCTGGGATCCCCGATCGAAAGATTTGCGAAATAACAAACGTAAAGTTTTCCACGCAGCAAAAGTAAAGTCTATGTCCACCGGGGCCTATTTGTCTATTTGTCAGATCTCCGTTTTCAAATGCCAAAACTCCGTTTTCAAATGCCAAAACTCAGTTTTCAAATGCCAAAACTCTGTTTGCAAATGCCAAAACTCTGTTTGCAAATGCCAGAACTCCCTTTTCAAATGCCAAAACGCCCTTTTCAAATGCCAGAACTCCCTTTTCAAATGCCAGAACTCCGTTTTCAAATGCTAAAGCTCCGTTTTCAAAAGCCAAAACTCCGTTTTCAAATGCCAGAGCTCCGTTTTCAAATGCCAGAACCCCGTTTTCAAATACCAGAACTCCGTTTTAAACTGCCAGAACTCCGTTTTAAACTGCCAGAACTCCGTTTTCAAAAGCCAGAACTCCGTTTTCGGCTTGATAAATGAAAATTTTCGACCAATCGGGTTTGAGAAAAATTTGTGGACACTCAATTTTGACAATATGAAACCAGTCAAACATAACTCAAAAAAATGTCTTTGGTGCCTTGTTCCCTGTCGCAATTTGCAAGCTTCAAGCGAAGCAAGTTTGGACCACGCAGGGCTAACTGAAATTTTTTTGGGCTACTGCAAAAAAACTAAATATACAGGCATAAAGTAAACAAGTTTTATCAAAACCTTGGCTAGTTCCTTGTCATCAAAGGCCAGCATTCCTGTGTTTTCTAATAATAATTTCACCTTCACTTCAGGCAGTGGATGTGTTGTCGTGAAGTCACCTTGTGTATCCCATCTGAACGAAACAGGCAAATTTTAGAAATTTAAGACTCGGAAATTATGGTTAAAAAACACTCATCTGATCACTTGTAGTTCTGTCAGAAACATTTTAGTCCATTACTTAGGTCTCGAGGCTTCCGCTTGATCTGTTTGAAATTTTTCTCCTCCTTCCACCTGGAAAAGAAGATCTATTTTAAAGATGATGTGCACTCCTGTGCACATGCGCAAACTTTGTTTACATTTTGAACTGCTATATTTGTAAAATATGATATACTAACTGAATATCTAACACTTTTCTGGTTCGCTATACTTGTAAATGAATATAAACTCTACGTTTCAATTCAAAAAAGTTTGAAAGATGCAAAATTTGAGCAATGTTTATATCTGGGGGTCCCCCGTTGTTATGAGCAGAACTGATGCACAGATCAAAGTTCCAGATATGAGGTCAGTAGGTGAATTTTTGGTACAAAAAAACAACTTAAGGAAAACTAGTTTGCAATTCACCTAATGACATCATATCCAGCAACTGTGACAGTGAAAAAGTTGATCAAGATGAAAAAGTTGATCAAGCTATATTAAGATACATTTTTTCTCCAAATGACACAAATATTACACATACCAAAAATCATATTTGGGGTTAGTTCCACTTTAACATATAGATTCGGTTCGGTGTGTTCTAGACAACTTTTCTAAATCATGCACTTAGTTTTTTACAGGCACAAACCTCCATGGTACAATATACAATTTTCTGTGCAGGAAGTTTTATTCCCTTTGCCTCCATGATTAACACTTCAATGGTAAAGGACAATACAACATCAGAAGGAGACAAAACTCTATCAGCATCGGACAAATCTGATACCAACACAGCTGTACTTCTACAGAACAGAGCATAATACTTCAAGCATGATAATGGACGGAAGTTATTCAATATTGATTAATGGTGCAGATTGTATACTTATGGTCATTACATTATTACTGTAGTCATTTAAGGTGGCTGCAGGTGCATATGGTACCAATAGTTACCACCTAATGTGGCTGGTGTGTAGTATACCACTGTACCTCCATTTAAGGGGGCTGGTGTGGAGTTACGGTGGTCACTTAAAGTAGCTGGTGTGTACTTATGGTTGACATTTAAGGTGGCTGGTGTACAATTTAATTATAATTGTCACTTAAGGTGGCTGGTGCATGCTTATGGTAGTGACTTAAGGTGGCTGGTGCATACAGTAATGGTAGCCACTTAAGGTGGCTGATACATATTTGGCACTTACTTTAGTGGTTTTGTTTTAACATTAGATACAGGTAAGCTGTCGAGGTTAGTTTTAAGTTGATTGATCTGCGTCTTTTGTTCATCAACGTAAATGGCTTTCATATTCTTGTGAACAAACACTGGCAAAGCCTGTTCGTGAAAACATTTGCACAATTAGATAATTTACTTATTGTAAAAACCTGCACAGAAGTTCATTGACTCACGGTACAAGACTGTTGGTACATAGAGAAACATAACATAAGGTACCTTACTTCCTCCTGCAAGAGCATCCATTCTCCCTTGTAATTCCCGTCTTATACATGCTGCTTGTTCGTCTGCATTGTCCAGCTAAATATAACAATTGATATAATATACTGGGCACAGGGCTAAGAAATCAAAACAATATTTGTCAATTAAGTGTTATCATCGCATTTCAGTAGTACAGGACTGATTGGTCATAGGAAGCTCTAATAACAGCAGATTGGCCATGAGTGCCGCATGACAGCGCTAAGGGGCTGTTCATATGCAGCCAGGCTGATTCAGGGGGAATTTTGTGACACGATTCATCCCAGCTCATGTGAACAGCATGAAACCTATTAATAGTAATTAATTTCTTGTGTTATTTCAACATGTTACTGATTAGATCATATTTGTAATCAACAGCTCACATTTGTAATGTGGCAAATCAATTGTTCATTGATAAACCATTATTATATCTGATATTATCTTCTGATCAATAATCAGTAACTGCTCATCTAACAGGACATACATGTAACCACTTAACAAATATGGAATTTCAAAAATTACCCATCAGCGAATATTTAAATAGACCTGCATAATGTCTCCAAGCTTTTTATCCACGTAACACATACCTGACAAGCGTTATACAAGATAGCATGCTCATATTTCTTTACCCCTAAAATTGTCTGGAACATTTCATATAATTGATCTTTGGATAAAATCATTTCACTGCTGGATGTAATGCCGGTCATACGAGCGGGCGAACGATGCGATGAGCGCTCTTCCCCTCCTCTGTAAATCGTATCAAATTTTGCCATCCATGAGTTGAGAATGGTCTCTATAGTTAAACCATTTGGCACATTTCGTACCCGTTTCTCAATACTGCTTTTAAAAATCTCACGGAAATCACTGGCTGTACAACTTCCACATCCAAGCATTTTTAAAACACGATCACTGCTGAGAAACGTATCGTAATAGCACTTGACTGCCACATGAAATGCTTTATCACTTTCAATGCTGGTTTTCCCGCTTAGGAATTGCTCAAACCGCGCTTTAATTACGCTCAAGTCTTGCTTAGATATTTTACTTTGCCGCCTGGTCATGTCTGTTTGTTGTTTAGCGTTAAAAGAGTAGGCAATACAGCGTAGAACAAAGACATATAACATCAATTTCTCTTTGCGTTCAACTTCATCTGTGTCCTCAACTTCGCTGTTCAAGGAAGGTGTAGGGCTGTCCACAAACCGCGGTAAAGGCAAACTCTCCGTGATAAGTGTCGTTTCTTCTCCTGGCACGGCATTATCGTCGCTTTCATCTTCATCTGATGAATTTGAGATCATATTTTGTGGTGATTTTGTGCAAAAACTGAGCAGTTCCTGTTGAAATTTAAAGCACTTTGTTTTGATTTTATATTCGAAACTTATTCGAAACAGGTCGCCCTAAATATGGTAGAATTATGCAGAATAATTAAATGTTCATTAAACTTTGAATACTTAATGAGCGGCACCTTTCATGTATATAAAAGTTACAAGAACAACTTATTCTCACCTATAATTTAGTTCTTTATTTCCACGATATTAAATAATCATTACTACATAATAAATAATTACAAGTCTCACATGTGTGAATTACTTTTATATCATAAACTCTAATTTACTTTGTCCTAGGACTAAATTAAATACTTTCTGGAATGACCAATACGTGTTCAAAGCCAAAGAAAGGAAAGTTACCAACTCTCACGCACTGTGTACGCTGTCCTTGGGCAAGACATGGCATTCACACGAAATTCTACACACAAACTCATATCATCGTCCTGAATTTGACCTGAAACATCTTCGTACCTTCCCACGAGGTTAACCCGTCGTTACATCACATGTGGTGGAACAGTAACCAAGGCATCCTCGGGTTTTCTTCCGACTTGAACATTCTGTTTATGAAAATTAAATCACATTAAGGTCCAGGAAAGACCATCTAGGGGTGGAAAAAATAGGCGAGCACTGCTCACAGGAAATGTTAAACAGCTGCAGGAAATTCATTTCAATGAAGATTTGCCATTGAAAATTTGAAGGAAACCTTAACACCCATGTCCCACTATGGGCGCAACAACATATGGTTGACAGACATTCTTTGAATTTAAAACCATGGTCAGCTAAAACACTATATTTTTATGCACACGAGATTTAGCACAAAAATACTCTGGTTTGCAGGAAATTTAATTCTCCAGGTTGTGCTCCCAAGGAGAAAATCATTTTTTCCTGCTCTTGGACCATCCCTGGTTTGCCAAGTATTACCACAAGAGGAAACTAGAGTACTTGCAGGAGAAACTGACCTGCGCGTTTGGTAGAGTCAAACTGGAAGCATTCTTCTCACATGGTGACATGGTTAAAGATTTGTACTAACCTTTGGTCGTTCTCGCTGTGTGTTCACTGCCTCGATTCCAAGAGGAAACTTCTCGACTTTACAACCTTTTAAAAAGAAAGCAACGGTTTCATATCGGAAATGTCATTACAGACATACGCTCGAAAATATATGGAAATTGTAACGCGGAAATAAAGAGGGAAAACAAACTAAATGTAATCTACCGTAAGCAACTGGCGTCAGCTTAAAGACGGTGTGAAGCGGAACTGCCAGATAAGGCAATTCTTCTTTCTTCACTTCAAGAAAATACGCCAGTAGACATCTCATGATTGCCTGTAAGAGATAAGAATATTGAGACGAACCATGTTGTTATAGAGCACACAGTATGAAACTTCAGAAGAAATCTGGTTCTACAAGACCCACCTGGTGACATATTACCAGAACGTTTTGTTGCCGTTCTAGTTCCTGCAACAGTAAATAATAGTTAGAATGTACTCACATTTCATCAGTCACCTTACTATAAATTCACATGAACTCGCGGTTAAAGCTTGACAACTGGACTCTGTAGCTCAGTTGCAGTTAGAGCGCTGCACAGGAATCACAAAGCTGCTCATCCCTTGGGCCTGCACGCGGGCTAAGCTGCTCCTGGTAATCCTGAATTGGAGACACTACATATATCTACAGGGCTTTACACTTTACAGTATGTCATTCTTTAATGTGGACATTTCCAGAAACACTTTAAATGATTCCTATTTACCATTATCACAGGCTCCAAACGAATGACAATATCTTCGTAAGACTGTGAAAAAATAGAGAAGTTAGCGAGGAGAGCAAGAAATAGAAAACAACGGAAAACAACCGCAGCAGATCACGGAAAAACTGCGTAAAGATTTAAGTAGAAATAACATCAAGGAGGACTTAGTGAGGTAATACATTGGAAATATATCATGCCTGGTTGGTAGAGCATTCTCAAAGGTTGTCGTTCATACCTCTCCTCTCTTATAGCGATAATGAAACTTGTCTTGATCTCGTCTCGCAAAGTCCTCGGGATATTTTTCTTGAATTTCTTCATAGGTCATGCCATCACACACACCCTAATGCGACAAGGGTCGATATTAACAACGACAATTTAAATTGAGAAATTTACCCCAACGGTCACGTTTAGTAGAGAGGTTAAGATTTGACTATCACTCCCGGGTATTTCATTGGTTAATTGGGTAGATTAAATGCATCAGATTGATGTTTGTGATGTTACTCTGAGTGTATATCCACACTGGGCAAGCTTGAAAAATATGCTGGCCACGGTGGGAATCGAACCCACGACCTTTGAAATACTAGCCCATGCAGGGATGGATCCAGCATGATCTGGTAGGGGAGGGGGTGTGCTCTGCCAGCTCTGGTGCTGAGTTGTGTCAGTCATGTGTGCCACCCGCCCATCAACTTGCTTCACTACTGCAAAATCTTGCTTCACTACTGTATTTGAATTGTAATAATTGTTGTTCACATTTCGCTTATCATCATGTTATTACTCAAATTACTGTATCTCATTTTGTCTCTAATAATTTTTTGCTTTATCATGAAAAATAGCACACACCCCCCCTGCACCCCCTCTGGCCAGGGCAGTAAATCCATCCCTAAGCCCATGATTGGTTAATGGTAGTGGAAGTAAAAATCTTAATGCTCTAATATCAGATCACTAGCTGTCACATACAGCATCAAGTTCATTCAAAGCTTTCCATTGTTCTGCTGATGCTTTGATGTGTTGAGCAGACTGTGATGTTCTTTTCAACTGACTTGTCCACACCTGTCAAAATTCAGAAACAACTATTGGCATACCAGTTCTAAATTGGTCTAGAGATCCAGTAAGGTCCTTTCCTTTATTGCTACAACACATGCTTGCTTTGTCACTGTGTATACCGGCATATTTGCAGAAAATCTATTGTGTTTGGTAGAGTGAAATCATTTGGACATTCATCTAAGGTGAAATTATAATCAGACAACTGACAAAAACACATAAATGATGCTTTACCTTCAAGTTTTCAAGGTTTTGTTTATTGACAAACTCACCAAGGACTTCTGCAAACTAAAAATAAACAAAATTGTCCAAAACAGCTCCAAATAAAAAGAATTCATTTTTTCATGTTCCATACCTTTTGCCCATGTGGTGAGAGGTCTGAATCACCTCCTATCCGGCCTTTCAAGTTGAATTCACTTTCTCCATGCTACATGAGAAAACATGATAATGGTTGCTACTAATCTCTTCCGAGAGTAGTCCAATTCTGGCCCCTCCCTTGCTCACCCCTATGATGGGAGGGGTGGGGGAGGAGCCAGAGTGTGGCCTCTTCCTGAGGCAAAACGAGTGCAGAGCGGCCAGTACTGGACTATTGAGAAAAGAGCTTATTTGCTTGAAACCTTAACATGCTTTTTATCTTTTTGAAGAAGTCCTGATTCAAGTCATAGTAGCTTTTTGGAAAGTAAAGTACTTACTCTTGTTAAATAAATTGATCTGGAAACAACATGAATGTTCATAGTATAGTACGCAACTTTACTTTCAACATAGCCTAGAAGAATGCAAATCACACAACCTTAAATAACAAATTCAATTTCTATATTCTTTTACATATCAACATGACTTGATCTCTATACTTAAAATGGATATCTGTCTCTATTGTAGCTAATTCAACTGGATAGTTACAACATTTACAACAATTATTCTCCCACCTTCAGCTCGATTCACAACAAATCGTCTTCCAGTATTGACGACTTTCAGAAATCGCACTTGATCATCTTTTGTTAAACACAGAGGTTCGTACTGTGTTTCATAAAGTTTAATTCTTGCTTTAAAATCTTCACATGCTTGTTCTGGTGAGACATTTTTATAATCAGGACTGGTCACTTTCACTTCCTGTGCAGTCAGAAAAAATACTCAAGCGTTAATTCTAATTGTCCCTGCTCTCTGTTTATGATAATGACATTGAAATATAATAACTCACCATAATATTAGAATGAACAATACTTGGATCATCACAAAATGACTCAATAAATAACAACTATAAATAAAAAACAACAGTTTCTATAGAAATTAAAGATCGTCATTCAGATTCTTTTTACAGTCCAAACTACTTCAAGTTTATACATACCTTGAAGGAATTCTGTTTACAAAACTGAATCACTTTTTCACGTCGTTTCCTGGTACCATTTGTTGAATCAAAAATCTGAGAACAAATATTTTTTATTAATTTTACAGTCAATGACAGCAGGATTGATTGTATCGATGCATTATGGTATCTTGATGGTGTAATATCAGCTAGTTTTCAGACAAATAATAAAAAATATATTCACATACAGCAACTTGACCTTTGCCGTTTAACCAGATAGCAATGTCATTCATGGCCAGCTTTGCACAATGCCTAAATAATATATAAACAACAAATCTATAGCAAAAATCGAGGTTCTTGGCTTGCTGTGCTGAGGCCTGTGTAAGAATCTGTGCAGCCAGTAGCACACTGCAAAAAACATCCAATTGAGAACTTACTCTCTAATAGCAATTCCTTCAGGATTGTCTGGGTCAAAGAACTTGTGTGTACATTGTGTCTTGTAAAGATCACGGCGATAATTGCCTGAGCTGAACACTGAAAAACCATGATAGTTTAAATTACCAAAGTTTAATGGTATGTACTGTTTGCTCTATTATATTAACATGGACAGATTTTCTAGGGATATTTTGCACCCCCTCAGAACATTTTCCCACCCCACCGACAAAAAGGGACTTCTAACTCCTTACCACAGTTTGAGTACATACAGGAGGTCTCACTTAAGGTTAATTTTGCATAAGGGGGATTTTTTCAGTCCGCTATGTTCTTAGCATGTACCCTAAAGAGAGGACATCACCCCCCTGAAAACATATTCTAATTTAATGTTCCAGGGGGGTGACTTTCTCCCTTTAGGGCACTTGCTAAGAACATGGCCAGCCAGTAAAAACTACCTTACAGTTTTTCAGCAGAAGTGAGACCTCTGTATGTACTTACCGTCTGTCCTTACCTCTAACCCACCCCTAGAAACTGCATCCCCAGGCCTCTGCCACAGCTTGCTCAGCTGCACTATACACTCCTTGGCAATTGCTCCCCCCCCCCCTTGAAAATTCATCTATGTAGTATAATACTATACTAACTCCCCAAAATCCATTTTCTCTCAACATTGAGATGTTTTTGTCTCTCTCAACTTCAATATGGCTGTCATGTACTTCACAGAATTGTTTTACACTATTCTATATAGCATGATATAGTGGAGAACTGTAACTGGTTTGAATCTATTAACTCTTTATGTTGCGGTCACGTTTGTCGCAATTTGAAAATGTAGTTATTTTGCATTCTTTGTGGTGATTAATCATCTTTTATTAATTTGTTCTTTTAAAAGCAAACATATGTACTTTTTAAATTGTTAACTTAGTGGCAGAGTCACAATAAACACTATTTATATATTTTAAGGCACGTACATTCAAAAATATTTTGAATATCATTAGTAACTTGGCAATGTTTCAGTCTTATTTATAGCGTATTTTGTTGCCAAATTTAGTAACTTGAATCCTATTCAAACAAACAACACTATTCTTATACCTGCAACCCAACGTGCAAACAACACTAAACCAGCTATAATTCTACGAACCTTTTGTCTCTATGCCAATCCAATTGAGATATCTTGCCAGCTTTCTTGCGATAAATGTCTTTCCTCTTGCCGGTAGACCGACCATTGCCAAGCACACTGGCATATTTACTAAACTTTTCGATGGAAACGAAGCTGGATAGCGAGAACGATCAACCATTTTGACAAAAACATAAAATAGAAATAACAAAATCCTTCAAAATATTTACCGAACGACGGAATCAGACCTTGAAGTTTTTATCAAATTGGCGAGTGATGAGCACGTGATTTTAAAACACTTCTGATCAGCTTCGCACGTGCTCGATGGGATTTGCCCGGAAAATGTCTTAACTTTTCTTGCATTTAAAGAGATAAAACTCTAACCACAAATTTAATATTTCGGTTCTACTTATATTTTTGTTATTATAACAAACTCACAAGCAATTTCAATGATATTTGTTTATTACTTACCGGTGTACTGTCGAGATTTGGCCGCCATTTTAATCAGGTTATGTCACGTGAACATTTTGGCGAAAATTCTAATTTTGGAATTTTGGAGCGCATTTTATGCAAGGTTTGACCAGGGAGCTTATTTGACCCTGGTTTGAGCGCGCGTCAAGGAATTACTGCGCTTTATGTTTCATGGCTGAAATCTTGAAAGTACAAGTCGATCACTTAAATATTTATTAAACATCACTAAACTACTGTGTCATGAAACAAACAAACAAACAGTATTTTCCCGCCATCTGTCCATCAGGTAGTGTCCTGTGAAAACTTGGCCAGCTTCAAAGTATCATTCAGCATATGTTCTCTGAGAGCCCACAACGCTTCAACCGTCGAGGAATGTGGGTTATAAGCTGAGCCTAACCACTGGACGGGGAGTTGCGATTGTTGCTGTGGAGTGAGCTTTGTTACATCGGGTTTGTTTGGGTTCCAGTTACTTAAATGTGGCGTACCATCACGCAAGCCTTCGATATACCTAGGAAATCAGAAATTACCAGATATGTACGTCGAAGTGGTTATCGTAATGGGTAATTTGAAAATAGGCTCGCGACGTGAAATTATTGTATTCAGGGTGCCTATTATAGGCAAGCGCCCTGATTCTACTACAGAATGCACGCAAATTTAAATCATCATGCGCACGCAAAAATTGGTATCATCATCTAATTATAAATGGGTTTTTATCATCTCACCTGAGATATGCGTCAGAATGGAGAAGTCTCTGTTGACGAGGTGGCGGAGAATGAAATAATGGAGCCATCTATATTCAAAATAGTTAAAGAATGATATGCACACACAGTATAGCTATATCACTTCGAAATTATTCTCCCTAGAGATCCAGTAAGGCACATCCCACCCACGAGTGCTCTTGTAAGTAGGGAGTTTCACGAATGAGAGCAACGGCAAACAGCAGAGTAGAATTTTCCTGGAAGAATTTTAGTTTAACTCCGCTTCAAATGTTCTTCCTTCTAATCAAACAATAGACCTTTCCCCTTTTGAGTGAAATTTTGATCTAGATATGTCTGGACAAAAATTTCATCACAGCTTGAAAGAGCATCACAAAATTAGTAATATTCCGAAGTTTCGTTGCGAAATGTTGTAAAATGCGGATAATATAGCCTTGCGAAGTTTGCCGTTTTTCAGTCATTTTGCATTACAAATGGAAATTGATAATCAGTTTGATCATCTGATAATCAGTTTTGATCATTCCCGTTTGTAATGCAAAATGACTGAAAAATGGCAAACTTCGCAAGGCTATATTATCCGCATTTTACAACATTTCGCAACGAAACTTCGGAATATTACTAATTTTGTGATGCTCTTTCAAGCTGTGATGAAATTTTGTCCAGACTTGTCTAGATCAAAATTTCACTCAAAAGGGGAAAGGTCTGTTGCGTAGTGCGGGATTGAACCCCAGTGACTGTGTCAGCACCATCCAGTTATAGTTTTATATCAGACGTACCTGTATATCAGTGGTCTGCGTTTCCATGGGTTGTGGTCTTTGCATGGGAAACATTGCGTTCTGCGGGGGTGCTTGAGGTCTAGGCTGACTCATTTGTGTTTGTTGTGGCGCGAGAGGCACGTTGGGGTAGGGTGGAGGCAACTGCTCCTGCTGCTGCTGTTGTTGATACGCCGATGAGAATTGTTGTAAAGTGTTAGCAAACTGTTGCTGCGCCATGTTTGAACCTGCTAAAGAAAAGAGAGAAAAAGAGTTGATGGGTTTCCCTATTAAGCATTATCGTGCAGCGTGCAGAGAGAGAGAGAGAGAGAGAGAAAATAATCTATACTTATTTCATTATATGCACAGTGGTCTTGCATTTGGAAGCACATATTTAGAAAACTGAAAAGTGGTTGAATTCGCTTGCTCCTACAATTTAGATTTCACAGTTGTAAAATAGACCATCACTTGCTGCCCTGTAATTAGAGACCCATGCATCAAAAGGATGGTAAAACTCAGAACTCACTAGAAACTTGTGTGTCCCTGTGTTCGTTTTCTTAAGCTTCATTATAGGCCAATTTCCACTCGGGAACATTTTACGGCGTTGGAACTAACGACTTCAGCACTATGCAACTTTTCTTTCCGTTCCTATCCTGCGGAGGGTTTTCCTGGGTGTAAACTGGCCTTTTTATATTAAAGATCTAATGAAGAATGTGTCATGTTCGTTCTGTAAGGGCTGCTGTAAATTTAATTGGTGTAACCTGTAGCATATACCCTATACCATGATTGATAAGTTATATATTCTTGTGTTTGTATTTTTGCAGATTGTGCGTAATTGGCAAAGCATACTAAATAAATAAATAAACTTTAGTTTGTGATTCTTACCCATAGAAGACATCTGTGCGAACTGGTTGACTGCGCCAGCGGGCAAAGGCGAGCCGTTCATCATAGCAGGAGATCTTTGAAGATTTACTGTGTTTTGCGATGGTAGTGTTGACATGCCTTGATTACCATAAGCATTCGTTAGATTCATCATATCTAGATTAAAATATAAATTTTATAGCCATATATTAATATGTATATTTGTGAATGTGAACCTACTTTGAAGTGTTCTATGTGAAAGTCACATACCCTAACTAACAACAACATCCACAAAACAAAACAACAAACATACTTTGCGCCAAGGCAGGAGTGGGCATCCTCATGACATTAGAGAATTGCTGATCCAGTAGATTTGAGTTCATATTGATCGACGGACCACCTCCCAAAACATTACTTGGGGTAGGTGAGGGTACCACACCCACGAAGGCTTGGTTACCTGGTGCTTGATTCAGATTGGTCGATACCGGACTGGGAGCGGGTCGTTCAGGTTGCACTGGGGCCTGGTTCTTAGGGAAATAATTCCTAGAAATCACACATACGTTAATATACATAGGTGGGTTTTCAATGAACACTAAAGCTGGAGTTACACGAGCAACAAAATTGCTACAACTTGCAACAAAATCTGATTTCAACGCATGTTAAGTAGAAATGTCGACACATGTTGCCTTGTGATTTGTAATTTATGTGTAAACATTTTCAATCAACATGCGTTGAAATCAGATTTTGTTGCAAGTTGCAGCAATTTTGTTGCTCGTGCAACTCCACCTCAAGGCGCGAGAAAATGTGGACGCAAATTACCAGTGCTAATTTTACAGCTGTCAACAGGCGCTCACAAATTATGACTTACTTGCTTCGCTCATGAAACTCAACACGTCTCGGCGGCCCTTTCAAATGAACCTCGCGACAATGTCGGATGACTTGTGTCAATGAATTAAAAGGCCTGATAAGAAAAAAAGTCTAAAATTTAATTAATTACTCATTTTTTTGTTAATTCATTTGGAAATTAGGATACAAATGAAACATTCTCATAAGTTTACGTTGCGAATAATTGAGTCGTACCTCATGCCTCTTTTAAGTCTTTCACAATTCCTCCAAACACAGGGACAAATCCCATTGTCTGTGAAAGCAGAAATTTTAAATTTATATCAGGACATGCATCTTAATCAAACTAAACTAACCATATTTATGCTGGGAAATTTTTGAGCCTTTTAACACCAAGCGCAAATGAGATTCTTGTGTTTAAATGCCCTGCATATGCACTAAACTGGAGTTTGATGAAAGCCATCTATACCGGGTGTCCCAGGATTTTCGTCCCCCCCTACATTTTCGCCCCCCGGGGGGCGAAATTCCTAGGAATATCGCCCCCCCCCCCCCAA